CCGAGCACTCTGAATAGGAAGCTTTCAGAATAGTTTAAGCTACCTCAGAGAAGAAGAAGAACGAATCCATAGCTTAAATCAAGTAACATTTAAAGTCAACTCCCTTAATCTAGATTCGTCGATAAACACACATGTATATATTGATAGATATTGAGAGTGTGGACTAATCTGGATATGTATTTAGACATTAAAGATTCAGAAATCAAATGTTTTATGTAGAATTTAGAACATACCGAGAGGCGTTTGACAAAACAAAAGCCTATGATAATATTGTTGATAATTTGTGAGATTGGTTGTGACTTAGAATCGTGTCTATTATGATTATAATCTTGTTAAAAGTTTGTTTGATGTGCCAAATCTGTTTAAAACTTGCAAGTGAAAATACGATCTCCATTTACTAAGAAAAAGAATTTCTGAATAATAACTACACTACTGTGTTTTTGAGTTAGATGTTCCCACATTCTTAATCTAGATTTCAAGTTGTATTATTGTACTTGATTTTTTTCTTTTCCCCCCAATTTATAAAACATGTATCATGTGTTGATTGCATTCTTGATTATTTCCAGTTTGAAAGAAAGCTCTTAAATAATTTCTTTTTTGGCTAATGATTTATGGATTTTTTTTATAGAATATATCCTCAAGTCAAAAGAATAGTGAATTATCAAAATAATTTATTTCTATATTCTTTCTATTGCCTTTATTGCATAAATTATTTAACCAGCTATAATATTATGCACCAATTACAAATACAAATATTTCGATTATTTATTTGTCTTGTGAGATTTTAAGAATCTCTATAGACATTTAGAATGATTTCATACCATGTAAATCAATGACATTTCACAAGTGTGAAAATTAATTTTGTGTACATTAAAGATGGGTTCCAAAAGCCATTATTAAGATTAACTCTCTCTTTATAATTTAAATTAAAAAAATATTTAAGTCTCATGTGAGATTTCAAAAATTTTTATAGAGACTTAAATTAATCACACCATTGTGTTAGATAATAAGTCTTCACAGATGTTGCGATTATTAATTTATATCTAAAAAATAAATAAATTATTTTTATAAATAAAATAATAAATATTTTTTAATAAAATTAAATTAATGTATTTAAATTATAATCACCTTTACTAATGAGATCTTAAAGTCATATGAGATTTTTAAATCTTCATAAACCTCTAAAATAATCGTCTTATCACTTGAGTTAATAAAACTTCATAGGTATAACGATTAGAATTTCATATAAAAAAATATATACATTACATGCATAATAAATCTAGTACATTAATAAAAATATAATTAAATAAATTTAATTATTTTATCGTGTGAGATTTTAAAATTTTTGTAGATATTTAGGATAATCATATTACCATATAAGCTAATAAGGCTTTGCAGGTATGAGATTAAAATTCTTTAAAAATATATATATATACATGCTTAAATAAATTATTACTAATACTTAAAAATATAAATAAATTAAGTTGCTAAATTCTTTTATCGTGTGAGATTTCAAAATCTCTGTGGATATTTAGAACAACTACATTACCGTATGAACAAATAAGGTTCTGTAAGTATAACAGTTAAATTCTCAATCATAAAACAAAAAAATAATAATTTTAAACTCTTTTCTTTCCTTATTTCAGAATTTCAAAAATTAAGAAAATAATTAAAATTAAATTACTTTTTTCAATTTAAAACACACATATCCAAATTTTAAAAAATTATTTTATTTGCAAAATGGTGAATTATTTTTAACTAGTTTTTCTTCAAAAAAAAATTTTCACCAACAAAATTTTAAGCCTGAACTATATGAACTTTGATCCCCATCACAGGGTACGTAGGTCTCGGAGTCTGATTCTAAGTCAAGTCCTCCCTCGTAAATAAATAAATATTTTTTCACTTAATTATTATCATTTTTATATCAAATACGTGAATAAGAAAGGGATAATTAAAATAACTGCAAAGCCATAATAATTTAGCACAACAAACTTTAGGTAACCATTCTCATGAACAGTGTTGTGGGGTGTCTAACACTTTTCCCACACTCAATTGACTCCCGAACTTATTTTCTATTTTCGCAGACCATTCTTTTTCTCTTTTAAATGGTTTTCCAAGATTTACCTTAAAATTTTGGTGGCAACTCCCGTTTCATCCGATCCCCACCTCGAAGGTCAGAACCTCCACTCTCGCACACCTCGTCGCATTTTTGGGTGCGACAACAATGATGTTGTTATGCATGCTTACATAATGAATACTTGCTTGCTATGAATTATTGCATAAATATGCATTGCATGATCTTGAGAGGTAAGAGTTCGCCTAGGTAGAGGAGTAGAAATTTAAATCCACGTGATAAGGCTTCCATCCAAGTTGATGGCTTGCCTGGATTATTTATATACATATTGTCCCATTTATTCAACAAAAGACTGTCCCACTAATTCAACAAGAGATTCGAACCTAACTAACTATCCACTTGTTCAATGAGGAAGCTAGGTTAGGGAGAATGACACCTCATAGTATTAGAAAATGGGAAAAATCGTGTTCCACAAATGAGTTAGGAAAACCTTGGCCAGGTAAACCCTCACACGTGTTTAGGCTAAGGAAGTCTTAGATCATAGACTATCCTAATGTGTTATAGCTTACAGTTTCATGTTAGAGGAATAAGAAGGATATAAAGGAGGTGTGATCATGCATATAGTAAAAAGGGGCACACAATTATATGTATTATAACCCTAATATTGATATTTGTGAGTTTAACCTAATGCCATGCGAAACTATGTTAATAGATCATGTGATCAGTTCTTTTCTACTATGAAATGGTATTTACTAATCATAATCCTTTAAGCATGTGCAATTGCACTTGAAATTGTGGATTTTATGTTCTTGATAGTGTTACGTGATTTGGAATCATATTATAATTAACCACTTGCATTTAAATTAATTAACATGCATTAGTATAAGTTAGTTAGACTTTGGTTACTAAGTAATTGTACTTACCTCACAACCTTTAATATTACAAGGAATAACTCAAGAGGATCGGATAGAGGAAAACAATCAAAGGCATATTATTTGATATCCTAATAGTAGGCCTCTTTCATCTTTTGAGGTATATGTGTATATGATGATTAATGTTGCCAACTATGATTAATTCATTGTGATTTACTTGCACTATGTGTTTTGTGTAATTATAAAGTGTATTTTGGGCCCTAGAATGTATGTATGTGAATTGTGATATCTATAGGAGAGCCAAAATATTAGTGCAAGTAAAAGCTAAGTTTGTCATGTGATTGTTGTTAATTATATGATGAAATGTAAGTCTTGGGCTCCTCCTTTTGTTTTGAGATTTAAGGGTTGAGCGTTAAAAATGTGATTTATAAGTGTCTTATATGATGTGGTACATTGCACAGGTTAATTTTGGTTTATTGTATGAGGTTTAAATGGTGTCAATGGCTCTTGGCTTTTGGTGAATAATTTGGACACTTAGTTTTGTGAAAGGTGATTAAAAAGTGCAAGTTTTGAAATGAATGTCTAAATTTTGAGTGAGTGAAAATTTGAATGTGAAACTAAAGCCATTAGCTAGAGCTTAAAAAAAACTTTTTATAAATACCTAGTTTGCATTAATCAGATGTCGGACGGAAAATTGGCGTGCGTCAGAAGTTGTCCCAAAAGCTGTTAATTTGATAGCAGAATTCTACTATCATGGAATGTGCAATGGCCGCAGCACATTGTGTCACAAGCCGTGACGTATAGTATAAAGGTGAATAAGCCGCGGCGCATGTTCAATAAGCCGCAATGCACGCCTCAAATTTTTGTAGAGTCTCTTTGTTTTCTAATTCCTTAGCAAATGCACTAATTTTGTAAAATGATCCCTTACTTTTGCATAGTTAATAACTCTGATTTATCAATTATGAGGCCTTTTGAAAAGGTTTTAATTTTGAAAACTTGAGATCCCACCTTTCCAACTTATTACGAACTTGACAAATTTGTTTTTACTTTAATCCAATCTATTAAGCAATTGAGATTTGGAGTTAATCATGGATTTGAGAAAGAGGATATTGCACCCTCACCATTCTAAAATCATAAAATTAAATAAAAAATATAATAATATTAAATAAAATAATATTATATATATAATTATAATAATATTAAATGTATATAAAAAATACATATAAGAAAAAATATAAATTATAATTTTATAACTTGTCAAATATAAGTAGATCTTAGTTAAATTAAATATGAGTAGACTCAAAATTATTTGTATTTGCACCTATAGCTATCGACCAAAGCCGTTGTTAACTACTCGATTTGGATTAGAAAATCATTTTCATGATTAAGCTAAATTGGATAAGAGTTAAGCTGCTATTAAGGTAGATCAAACTTGAATTGGGAATCAGAGCGGCTTTTAAAAAATTAGACAATTTTAAACAAAATATTAAAAAAAGCTTAAAAAATTTTAAAAAAATAAAAAAATTCAAAAATTAGATCCTACTAAAAGCCAACTTTATTTTTGAACAATTCACATGTATTAAATATGATTTAAGACCATTTTTTTAAAGATGTTGATAGCTATAGGTGCAAATGCAAATACTTTTAAGTCTAGTCATATCTAATTTAGCTAAGATCTACTTATATTTGACAAGATATAAAATTATAGTTTATATTTTTTTTCTTATTTTTATTTTATATATACATTTAATATTATTTTTTATTTTATAAAATTATAGTTTATGTTTTTTCTTATATTTATTTTATATATATATTTAATATTATTATAATTTTATTTTTATTTAATTTTATAATTTTTATAAGGTGAGGACAGCATTGCTCTTCTAAGAATAATTTATTAGTACAATTGCGCATTAACTAATGAAAAGTAAATCCTACTAGCCATAATAACGGACGTTTAAACAGTGAAGACGACATTGTTTCGATTTGATTAATTTAGGGACAATATTACTACGATGAATAATTTACGAGTAATATTGCTCCTCCGAGAATAGTTTAAGAGTAAAATTGTACCTTAATCCTTCTAATGATATAGTCCAATTCATCAAGGATGGGTCATAAATCATAATCCAACAAATTTTAGCACAAGGTTCAACCACATATGCTAATTTAAAATAGTTATATTCAGGTACATCAGCGAAGCACACATACATGTACGAAGAATTTAAGAACACATTGGAATTTTAAAAATTATTCCCTTGGAAAAGACTCCATGATCCTCTTGGCAATACAATATGCTGTAGATTGGATAGTGATCATGGGATTGACACCAACGGCTGTCGGCAGCAGACTTGCATCACAGACAAATAAGCCTTCTGCTTCCCAACTCTGCCCATTCTCATCAACAGCACCTTCCTTCTCAGACATGCCCATCCTACAGCTTCCCATCTGATGAGCTGAGCCATAGAAAGTCCATTTTTCTTCCAGTGACAATGGCCCCCCTGCTACATATACTGACTCCAAAAACTCCTCCACATCCTTCTCGCTCGTTCCATTGCACTTGATTCTTTGCCCATCACTTCGGTGAGTGCCTACCTCAACAGCTCCTGCTCCAATCAGAATCCTCAATGCCTGCTTCAATCCAGCCTTGAGATTCTCTCTGTCCACTTCATCTAAATCATGCCTCACTCTTCCTTCTTTCCTAACTTCCCCTGATCCTTTGTCCTTAATGATAGTTATGAAATGAACAATCCTTGAATATTTCAGCATTGTTTCTTTGAAATCAAGCCCAGAGACCCACGGAAACAGTGAAGAAAATGCACCTGGCCCTAATGCAGGAGTTTCAACTATAGCTCTTACTTTGGAGTCCTCTGATAGCACCTTATGGACAGATGTGATTATTCCTCCCTCATAGCATTTACCATGAAGATCAGACACTGAATCTGGGAAGTAGCCCCATGTCATTAGGACTGGGTGAAGATGAAGGTTCTTGCCAATGTTCTTGTTACTTAACCCACTAGAGATCATTAAAGGGGGCGTCAAAAGAGCGCCAGCTGCTGAGATTGTCACTTTGGCTTCAATTTGTATCCTCCATTTGATATTGCTACTAAACGATTTTGCCATCACGCCTAAACACTTCTTTTTCCTCTTACATTTCCCTCCCTCGTTATTTTGTAACACAAATCTCTCAGCTTTGCATCCAGTAAGAATTACTGCACCATGATCCACAGCATCAACAAGCCACGTAGTTTGAGTCCCTTGTTTATCTCCTTGCCTACAACCAAAGTTGCAAAAGCCACAATGATGATGTTCTGATGAATTTCGCGGAACATAATCAACTTGAAGACCAAGATTCTTGCAACCTTTTCTAAGGGCTTGATTCTGGAGCCCTTCCATTGAACATTTATCTGTAACTCCAATTCTTTCACACACCAAGTCCATGGCAGCCAGATATCCGGAGCTCCCAAACAGCGATAACCCATGGTGCTCCGCCCATTCCTTGAGCACATATTCTGGTGTTCTTATGGATGCTGACCAATTAATGGCAGAACCACCACCTACAGTTGATCCAGCCAATATTGCCACGTTGCCATCTACAGACGCCAGAGTTCCTCCAGATTCATAAAGCTCATCCATGGATGGCCCTTCTAGAGAAGAATAATCCATAGCAGTAAAGTAGTTTCCTTTCTCAAGAACAAGCACCTTTAGGCCAGATTTTGCAAGAACAGCAGCTGCAACGCCTCCACCGCAGCCAGACCCAACAATTACCGCATCACATTTGACTCTCAGGACGTTGAGTTTATCATCCTTAACAACTTTGAGTCCGTTGTGAGAAAGTGATATAGGCAGACTCGAGTTAGTTTCGAAAATAGCTTCCACCATTCCCTTATCAAGAGGCCTCTCCTTCTCAAAGTTGCTAGCGTTCTTCTCTTCAGCCGAGACTTCATACCCAATGGCTTTCCATGCAGGGTTTTCACCATTTTCATCAACCTGTACGAATGGCAAATTTAGAGAACAAAAAAGAAGAAATTGTGGTTGCTGTTACAGACAATTCCTAAATTATGAAGTATCGAGTATGCCTAGAAATTAACAAAAGATAAGGGTGATTCATGGATTTTGTATACAGAACAAGGGATTACCCGAGAGAAGAAAACCCAAGTATCGAGCCTAGAAATTAACGAAACATTATGGTGATTCATAGATTTTGTATACAGAACAAGGGATTACCCGAGAGAAGAAAATCCAGACGCAGAGGACTTTGATGTAAAGAAACACGAGTCTAATGGGCGTGAGAAATCGATGCTTGAGCCATTTCTGAACGATCTTCTCTCTCTTGTTCAATGAGATATTTGAGAAGTTATTGATGAATGGCCAGGTCTGAGTAATACAAAGAGAACCGCAAAGCAATAAGGTACCCAACCTGGTCGCTAGCATCCATAGAATCACTCTGATTAGAATTAATGCCTCTATCAAAGCTCTTTCCACCAGTATCTCTACAACCTGTATCGATGTCAAGTGAAAACAGGGGAGACTTCAATCTTTGAATGTTGGATCGATGATTAAAACACGAGAACCATCAATGGGTCAGGCTAACGACTTGATCAAATTCAAAAAATCATTTTAAAAAGTTGGGTTGGATTAGATTGCTTTGAACTGCTGATTGAACCGGAAATCAAAATTAAGCTGAAAGCCGATCTGATTTTTAAAAATTGGATCGTTCAAAAAAATTATTTTTTTCTTTTAATCTTTTTATTAATTTTTTAAAAAATATGATTAATTTTTTTTAATTATTTTTGTTTAATAAAAAAAAGAAAACATTATAAAATATATATATATATATATATAAAAGAAAGAAGTGTATTAAAAAAAACTGAAATATTCTTTAATTTTACATAATATTTTATTTTAATCCTTTAATTTTATAAAATATTTTTTAATCATTTCATTCTAATACTATTAATTTTATCCCAATAAATTTTTATATTAAACTTTTATATATTGATAAAATATTCTTAATGTTGATATATTAAGTTTAATTTTATCAAAATAATAATGATTGATATAAAAAATGAGAAAAAACTTGTATACTTAACTTTATATACTTAAAGTACTTGTTTCTAATTAAATCAAAATATATCTATCCATTATAAATTATTTATTCTATAATAAATTTTTATTATTAATATTATTAACAACTAAAATCTACATGTCATGATTTAATTAGATGAAAGTATATTAAACATATAAAAGTAAGTATATAAGTTTTATCCTAAAAAATAATCATTAAAAACCAACGATATTTGAATTTAAAGATTAAAAAAATATTTTATAAAAATTAAAAATTAAATTAAAATTTTATATAAAATATATTTTAAGTTGAGAGAGGTGGGGGAAGATAGTTATATCATACGTTAAAAAATGGAAACAAGAACTAAATATTATTAATTAATAATTATACAAAAAAAAGTCTAAAATATGCTTTCATTTGTTTAATGTTATATTGCGCTTGCACATGATCCTTAAAAAGATAATAACCAATCATGTCAATAAAAAAAAATAATAAAATAACAATACTCTGTTGTGATTAGTTTTATCTACCACAATAAAATTGTATCCAATGGTATTTTATTTAACAATAAAAAAAAATTTGGATATTTCTTCCACAGAGAAAAAATTAGGTTTTTAAACTTATACATGCGTTTATTTTAAATTAAACTGATATGCTTCTTTTTAATCATTTATCTTGCAATTAGTTATTGTTATTAGCAATTTTAACTTATTTTAAAATCTAACAGCCATTTTTTTTTCTGTGGCAAAACAGTTTTTTGCAAACTTAGAAGAATGTTAGAAAAAATTAATCATTTAATTCTTATAAATTTAACTTAGTTAAAATCTAGTGTATGAACATTGACTTAATAAAAAGTTTTGACTTAATTAAAATTTATTTTTTAAATTTTGACTTGATATAATTTAGTCTTTACATTAATTTTAATCATTTGAAATATTGATTTTTTTATTTTAGAAAATAAAAATATAAGGAATAAAATTATTTCTTGAAAATTAAAGACAAATGTTTTAAATTTTTAAAATTATTGAGATTAAATTATACTGAGTTAAAGTTTAGCGATTGGGATACAATCAAATCAAAATTATAAGGGTTAAATAATTAATATTTCAAAAATTTCACCTTAAATATATAAGTGTAAACTTTTCACAAAAAATGGCATCGATTAGAAAATAATTCACTGTTATAATAATCAGAATGATTTAAATGTTTTTTTAGTAGTATAACTATAATGTTTAGCACTATAGAAATGTGTGCTGTAATAATGGCTTGAATTCTGCGTATTCATTATCAATATTCAATACTTCAATATCTCCACTCCACGAGACAAATCCATTTTACTGATCTTTCTTGAATTTAATTTTTTGGAACAAATTTCTTTTAGAGAATAAAAGATAAAAAAAAATTAATCTTTTAATCCTTTAACTTTTAATTCATTTATAACTCAATCTCTCAACTATAAGTTGCTGTGACTCAGTCCCTTAACTATAACTCACTGTGACACAGTCCCTCAATTTTTAATTTATCTATAATTCAGTTCATTTTTTTAATTTTTTTCAAAAGTTTTTTATCAAATAAAAGGGATAAAAAATGCTTATATATTATTCTAAAATACTCTCCTCTTACTCATTGATGTGAGATATAAGCTAACATAAAAAAGATTAACAACGGTTTAGCAACTGATTTGTAAGTAATTCAAAAGTTGAGGGATTGAGTCATAGACGAGTCATAGTTGAGGAATTGAGTTATAGTGAGTTATAGTTAAAGAACTGAGTTACAAGTGAATTAAAAGTTGGAGGATTAAAAAATTAATTTTTTTAAAATAAAAATATATTAGTAATTTTTAGGTCGTTAAAAGTTTTAAGAGGGCAAGAGACGTTTAAGTAGCTTCTCCAGTATCAACTGCAACTTTCTTCTACACCGAAAACAATGTCATTTAAGTTTTATCAAAATTCTTCATTTGTAATTTCTTTTTTCCAAAAAATCCTTGAGTGCCATCTATTATTTCAGTTTTCAGAATGTAATAGAACTTAAAATATATGAAAATGCAAACTTATAAATTCAAAATATATAATAACAGTTATATCTTTAACTAAAAATATTATTTATTTATTTACTTCCTTACGTGTTTCCCTCATTATCTACTTACAAATAAAGTAAGGTAATGAATAAATAAAGTAGTGCAATTAATAAAAATTTATAAATAAATAAACAATATACAATATAAGAATTAACAAGTTATTTTAAAATGATTTAAACACTTAAAATAAAATAAATTAAGTAGGGCAATTATTAACATTTTATAAATAAATAAATAAGTGAAATAGAATAATTAACAAGTAAAATAGAATAATTAATGAGTGTTTTTTATTTTTTCCACTCAACCTAATCATTCATTGGCGAAGAGAATAATTAGTTATATCTCGCTGCGTGAACAACGACATGCTAAATTGCTAATTAGGAAGGGGACGAAAGGTAGGCAAGTTAGGTCCAGAGAATGAATGCGGGAATGAGCTGTATTATGCATATTTTCTATAAATTCTAAGAGTAAATTCGCATATATCAATATCGTTGATATAAAAATACAAAAATACTCAAAAGTCATTCAATAGTTGGTAAGAAAACAAAACACATAATATTAGGGGTGTGTATATCCAATTATAAATAGTGTATTTCTTTGTTTTTTTTTAAACAGCATTAGTAAAACTGAATTGGGCCGCCATTTCAACTTCTATCAATGGGAATCAATTATTCAGAACACCATAAAACAAGTGATAAAGTGAAGCGACGAAGAACCAATTAAAACTAGTGGGAATTAGAGAAAAATAGGTCAAACATAAGAGTCTTGTATCGATTTTCCTAATTAAAAAAAAATCAAAAGCTCAAAACTGTTATTTTGTGTCTTTATTTATTTTTGTGTCTTTATTTATTTTTTCATTGGTGGGCGGGCGGGTGGGTTTGTGTGACGATTTATTGGTAGTTTTGATTAGCCATGAATTAATGTGACATATTCAATTATTTTGATAATTTGCAATAGACAATAAATACTTTTATTGCAATGTTGGTACAGTTGATCACAACTTTAGCATGTGCAAAACGATAGGATAAATATTTTTATTTTTCATGCATATGACTTAAAAATATTAATCATTAATTAATTTAATTAAAATGGTTCAATCACAATTCAACCAGGCCACAACTATTGAAAATTGAATTAGTGTCTTAACCATCAAATCTCCATCAGATTTTTAAACTATTATCATTAAATTATCTATAGTATGTATGGAAGGCTAAAATATATTTCTAGTTATTTAATTTTATACAATATTTTATTTTAATTATTTAATTTTATAAATTATTTTTCAGCATTTTAACTCTAACACCATCAATATTACCACAAAAAATTCTACATTATACTTTTAAATATATAAAACATTCTCAAATGTTTGCAAATTAAGTTTATTTTTTAAAAATAATTATGATCGATACAGAAAATAATCATTTAAAATTAATAATATTATGATTAGAACTAAAAAAATACTTTATAAAATTAAGGGATAAATTAAAATCCTATATAAAACTAGAGGATTAAAAATACAATTTTTCTGTATGGAGTAATTGAATACATATCTAGTTCTAAAATTTTAAAAAAAAATCAGTGTCATTTCAATTAAATTTAAAGTAACATTTATAATGTAAATTTTATTTAAAAAATTCTATATATTTTTATATAAAAATATTTTATTCTATAAACTTATTGTCATTTGGAATGATTAACTTAAACAAGGTAAATATTATAGTAGAAGCAAAAAAAATGAGGTAAATAAAGGAAATTTATTCATGAAGTGATTTATTGGGATAATGAAATTTTATCCTTCAAATTTATCTTAATTATTGATTTGATTCCTTATGTTTAATTTTTATCAATATATCTTATATTATTTTTAAATTACCATATTAGTCCTTTAAATTTTAAAATATAAATTGACTTTTAAATTAATCTAATATATAAATTATATTAATAACTTGCATATATAGTTAAATAAAAACAAATTAGTCTTAAATCAGTTTAATTTTAATCCCTATAATCTCCTATGATGCATTTTGTTCTTTAATTTTTTTTAAATTTCAAAATTTTTTCTTACTTAAACAATTACATTTTTTCATTAATTTACTTAATATTTTGTTATGCATGTCAATAAATTTTAACAATGTTATTTTTTTAAATAATAAAAACTAAATTAATAATTGAAAATAAATTTTAAAAAATTAAATTTGAGAGCCTATAAATTTCTTTTTCCTTATTTATTTATCTTTATTTTTTGAGAAAATCACATTCAACCTCTTTTTAAAAGAATTAATCACATATAAAAATTAATAATAAATTACATTGAAAAAAAAATAAATTATATTCTCATTTTAGTAACAATATATTTTACATTAGCCCTTGTCTATAATTACCCCTCTCTTATATATTTAACCATCCAGCCAGTCAATTTCTGTAAGTCAAGGTCAGCATCCAGCTGGAATTGACCATTGAGATTTAGAGAGAGAAGCGACGGATGGCCACAGCAAGTAAGCCTCTTTACAGAACAGATAAATGAATGAAAAAGTCAAGGAATCAGTATGACGTGGGCGTACCTGATGAGGCAGAGAGAAATGAGAAGCAGAGGATTGCCAGAAGACGCGGATATGGTCAGGCGAACGATGACTAGTGTTGTTGAGAGGGAGAGATTGGAGAGAGAGAGGAGGCAACAGAGCCTCACATATGCTTCCAAGTGATTCCATTTCCGCCGATGAGAACCCATCACTACTGAATTTGCAGCTTCTTGACGGCGACCCTCGTCTTCTTCCTCCTCTCAGCAGAAAATGACTCTCTCTCTTCATCTCTCTCTCTCTCTCTCTCTCTCGCTCCCTTCCAGCCTAAGCCTGGTGCTTTATTTGTAGTTTGAAGCAATAACTTCATTTATTGAATCCACGCCCACTCCTTTGCTTTTGCTTGTTTCACTGTCAAAAGCCAGGTGTGGACAACTAATTCGCTTTCCCTTCATTAATTTTCCACCCCTTATTTCTTAAATTTTTAATATATTTTTTATTACCGGATAAAAAAGTAAATCCTCCACTTTAATCTGCTGTTCTCATGCTGGATCGACTTGGAGAATCAAGCCGATCGAGCTCTCACTTAGAGAAGAAAAAAATTTGATTCAACCATCTGCTCATTTTAATAGTTGACTCGGGCTATTTTTTTTTTTTGACCGGGCAGTTTTTAAAGACCCGAAGTAAAAATCTGAGATTTAAAAGCGTTAAAACATTTTAATCCATTTTTAATATATATACATAAATATTATTTTTATTTAATATTATATCATCAGTTTAATTAATATGTACTCATAAAACCTGTAACCTATTAATCTTTCTGATTTATTGTTGGGTCTGTTTTTAAAACGTCTTTCAGATTTACTGTAATTCAACAGTCGCCTGCCTTGACACTTTAATTTGCACCGGTGTTGTTAATTATCGTGCGGGTCCAACTTGGTTGTTCTGGAAATTTGTCGATTTTCCTGAGCCTTGTTTTAAATGGATCGAGTGGAAAATTAATGAAGGGAAACCGAATTAGTTGGGCCTGTGTCACATCTAATATGTCCGGTAAAAGGCTCATGTGGGCTTCGTGTATCCCTATTCATCCTAATTATGCTTGCCTCATATTTACTTTTCGTTTCTACAATGTTCTTCTTGTTTTTTTTTTTTGGGAAAAATTTCATTACAAATCCAAACATGTGACTTTATTTTAAATCAGTTCTAAAAAAAATTCAAAAATTACATTACAAGATGAAAAGATTAAATTGAAAATATGTTTTGTAAAGAAATAACAAAAATACCCTCCACTTAATTTTTCATAACAACTAAAGTTTCAAACGAATAATATTGTTAAAATAATAAGTCAAGTTATAGTTTTAATAAGTTAACTTCGTATTTTTACAAAATAATATGAAATAGGCAAAATATATACTTTAACAAGTTCCTTTGTTAAGTTAACAAATAACGTTATTAAAATAATAAGTTAAGTTACAACAAATTATTTGGAGGGGTATTTTAGTCATTTCTCTACAAAATATAGTTTCAATTTAATACTTTACTCTTGCAATGTAATTTTAGAATTGTTTGGCACTGATTTGAAATAAAGTCACATCTTTGGTCCTGTAATGAAATTCTCCCTTCTTTTTTCCTTCTTTCTCGTATATATGTTCCTTTTTCGTGCTTCTTCCTTTCTTCAATGTCTACCCCCATTCTTCTTTTCCTTCTTCTTCATTATTTCTTTCCTTTTTTTTTAAAAAAAAAATCTTTCTCTTATTAATCTTTTCTCCAATTTCAATCAAAACTCCTCTTTCTCATCTTTTATTTTTATTTCTCCCATGAAGTTGGTGATTGAGTTTGATGAGGGCCATTTTAAAAGTTAGAAGGTAGATAAGGAAGAAGATAGTGACGTTGAAACTATGGATGATAAAAGGGATAGGATATGCCACCAATGCTCGCCGTTGTCCAGTGCAGTGCTACTCCAATCTACAAGGCTAACTGTCCCCCCATTTTGCTCCGTTGCTATTGCTCTCTCCCCCTCTCATTGTTGTAGTCGTTCTTTTTGTTGCATTTATTGCTCTTTATGAGCTTTGGTTGTTCTAATTTGGGTTTTTCTTTGCTTCTCAATTTACTGATAATAAGGATTAATTAAGAAGAGAGTTGTTACAGGGATTCAAAGATAATAGCTTAGCAGCACAACAGATCTAGATTCAAAAACGAATGTTTAATATCCTCACATGCTCTATCTCTCTCCATCGTCTCGTATCCCCTTACTTTTAAGTCTCCCTCTGGGTTTATGTTTTTGTTGGATCTAGGTTTACGTGCTCTTTGTGTCTTTAGTTCCAACCTTGCACCAGCCATCTCCATTGAAGATTTTAGTTTGCCTCTAATCATCTTTTGATCATGCTTTGTTTGACGGAAAATACGAAAAGGAAAGAATGAGGTACTTCTTTTTTCTGTTGGTCTGTTTATTTTTTTTATGCTACTTCCCTCATGTATCTTCTTTATTGTATTCTGATTTTTGATTTATGGGCGGGAATGTCCATGATTTGTTTTGCAATACCTCCTATAACATCCTAAAAATTAACCTTCTATTTAGTCAAACTAATCAAGGGTAATTAAGTAAATTAATGTGATGTATAATTAAAGAGGGCTAATGAATCTTTTGAGTTATGGTTTTAGCCCTATATTTGGGTCCAGAGAGAATATGGGTCACCTAGACCTCAAAAAGGGAGAAAAATAAGGAAGGGGGACTCTACACCAAATGCCACAGCATGTGCGTTGTGTGCCATGACATAATAAGCCATAAAACACAAAGAAATCCCTTTTGGACATGCCACTGCATGGACCAAATTTGATAGCAATAAGGTCAAGTTTCAGTTCAAAAAACAGAGAGAGAAAAGAGGTTGGACCAAAAGGAAGAAGAACATCAAGGACTATACTAGGGGTTGAAGATTCAAAGCTTTAGGAGTATTTAAACTTCTAAACACAAGAGGTATTTCGCAAGCTCTAATCTTCCTTTCTCTTCTTCTTTTGATAGTTTTGGAGGTTAAGATTTGTTGTTAGAAGTGATTTTCAGACCCTTAAGCCTATGGGTCAGAATCTATTGACTTAAATAGAATTAATGGGAGTTATTTTAATTATTTAAACTAAGGTTTATGAGCTAAGCACTTTTTGTTGGCGGGATGGCATTTATGACCAAAAATACCATTTAATAAGGTTGTTGGAGTTTTTTAGGAAGTCATTAATGATTGTTTAAAAGTTTGATGAAACTCATGGGAGCTAAAGTAAGTTAATAAACCCAATGGCTAAACTCAAATGCAAGAAACTAAGGGCTTTAGGTATTCTTGGTGTTGAAATAGGAAGTTGGAATTGTGTAAAAGGTGATATTCATGAGTGTGAATATAGTTAAATGTAGATTAATCATCTGTGCACCATTTTGGGCTTGAGAGCAAGCTTGGAAGCAATTTATTTAAGGGGTAAACCTTTGATCACTCAAAGGTTTGAGGTAACTAAGCGAAACATTTTTTGTGTAGTTGTTTGTTGATTGATTTATGGTTTCAAAAATGAATTATTTGACATGAATAATTAAATTTTATGATTGTAAATAACTGCAAAACATGTAAGTTTTGATTAACCCATTTGGTTATAAATGTAGTGTTTGATTTTAAAATTTTTGAAACATTAATGAGAAGTTGATAAATTAATGAGATGATTGTGTTGATGTGATAGCTTTGAATGCAATACATGAGAATGTGAGATTGAGAATTGAAGTTATGTGCAATATATGAGAATGTGAGATTAAGAATTGAATTTATGTGTAGTAATTGAAGATAATTGTATGCTTACATGTAATAGCTTATTGTGAGAATTCAATGAGCTTGTATTTGTATATGTGAATATGTGAAATGAGTGAACATAATTTATTGCATGATCATTTTGGCTGGAGTTTGCCTAAGGAGGGGAATAGATAAAAATCCACATGGTAATAGTTAACAATCGTTGAAATAGAGGGTTGGCTTTGTCCCATTATTTGTTGAGAGACTGTCCCATTATTTGTTGCTATACTCAAATATAGCTATTTCTACTTCTTTGTTGAAGAGACTAGCCTAGGATTTTATGACACCCTAGGGATTTGAGAACAAGGGAAGTTGTGGTCCAAGAGTAAATGTGATGATCTTTGATCGAGTCACTTCTCATGATTGGTGAGCTTGGATAGTCCATTCACATGAACGAAATCCTATTTAAATTATAGCCTACAATTTCAGTCAGAAGGTATCAGAAGAATATAAAAGTGGTTTGATCATGCATTTTATTCCACGTGTCACATGATTGTTAAGTTTGTGACAAGTCATGATATTTGGTTGTGTCATTGTCACTTGATTGTTATTATAATGACAATGTACATCGTGATATGAGATTGTGAATTTGATGGTTTTTGTTCATAAAATGGATTGCACATGTTTAATATATGATATTATGTTCATGCATCCATTGAATATGCTAAATATCAATTACTATACTATTTTATATGATAGACATACCTTAATTACTGAATAGTTGTACTAACCCATCTCTCTTAACATTTTATAGGCTTTAGTTCGGGTGTAGATAAGGGAAAAGCTCCGGAGGCTTAGGAATTTGATATTCCTAATATAAAACCTCCTATCTAATTTTTATTTTGTGTAATTATAAAGCTATTGCCAAGTAGGAATGCATTTTGAGTATACTTTCACTATAAGGATTCTCATGATTAAATTATTGTATTTTAAGCCCTGGAATGATTATATGTAAATTTGATTATTTTTAATATGTCAAAAATACTAGTGCAAGTATAAGGAAAATTATGATATTGTAGTTGAATTAATTTGAAATTCTACCATGATGAACCTCCCCCATTGTTTTTGATATTGAGGGGTTGATAGTTGAAAATAAGATATTATTGTTATTATGTGAATGTAGTGTGATACACAGGCAATCATAAGTTTATTGAGTAAGGTCTAGGTGTTAGTTGTAGCTTTTAGCACAAGTGTTAGGTTTTGAACACCCTTGTGATGTGAAAAGTGGAGAAAATGTGTTTGGGTATCTAACTCCTTTGTGTAAAATTGTTTTAGAGTAAAACTCGTGCCAGTAGCTAGATTATGAAAAGAGCTTTTTGTAGATATTTAGATCATCTCGATCGGACGTCAGAAGGAGAAATGGGGCATGTCAAAAGTTACCCTTAAGTGCTATATGTAACCGCATGGTGCTGTCTAATTCTATGCAGTTTGCCATGGTATGAAGTACAAAGAAGAGCAAGCCATAGTGTATATGCACATGTCGTGGCACGTCCCTCTGTCACTTTTCTCACTTAATATTTTTCAACTAGCTTTGAGACTT